AATAGAAAAGCGAGTAAGGCAACTTGGTAATTATTGAATTTGGCTGATGGTCCTGGGAATTCATTATAATATTCTACTCTGGTATGTTTAAAAATTTTTGTGACAAAATTTTAAAACTAAAGCTTTTCTCTGGCATTCCTGCCTCTCTGGCCTCCTGTGTTATCTATTTTTCTGTTCTGTGATTGGTATGACCCTCTCTTTATTACATATGGGTTTGTGTGGTTAATAATTTAACCTTGCCCCAAAAGAGGTCTGGCTTTGGCCTCAGTCTCTGAAACATTAATCTCTAAAGCATTTGACTGCCATGTCCAATAAGAGTGTTTGGTGGAACCATCTCAACAGTGTGATTTAAGATGAGGGCTTCAGGTTGCATGATCACGCATACATGATAGAACCCTAGTAAAAATTCTCGACTCTGGGGCTGGCTTGTTGTCACACATCATTTCTGGGAGAATGACATTTTTACTCTGCAGGGAGAGGACAGCAAAAATTTGACATTTGCTACTTCCCCAGACTCCATCCTGTGTGCTTCCTCCCTTAACTGATTTTAGTCTCTTTCCTTGTAATAAACCATAATGATAAGTGTAACAGCTTGCAGTGGGTTCTGGAAGTCTTTCTAGCAAATTATGGAACCTAACGGTGGTCTTGGGACTTTGCAGTTGGTGTCAGCAGTGAAGACAGAAGTTAAGGGCAAACCCTTGTCTCTTGTGGACTGTGTTCCCCCCTCCATCTCCTTAGTCAGCTAACTCTTGCAGTGTTTGTCTATAAAAACCCATAGCCTCCTCTACTGCATTTATTTTGCAAAGCCTCTTTCTTGTTTGGTCTGTTAGCTAGCTGCATTATGAAGTTTTAAAATTTTCAAGTGGAGTTTTAAATAGCCATTTCTGAAAAGTAACTGAGTAGGATATTTTATTCATCTTGAAACACTCACTTTATTTTAATCAAATAAAGCGTAGTTGTTTTTTGCTTTTCCTTTGCCTGTCCTTCAGTTAAGTTTCCTAAAGGCCAGTGACTCTGATAGCCCCCAACACAACCCGCAGCTCAGCTGCAATTCTGTTTCCCAGTTACCAGAAGTCCACCTGAATCAGTGGTGTTTGGGGGACCTTTAGATGGCCTTTCAGAATATGCTGTGGGCTTCCCAGTGTTTGTTGATGAGGTCCTCTTGAAGATTGTTTGCTTAAATATTTTTTTTGTGGAAAATGTTATCATCAATATAAAACTATAAGAATTTTTTTAGAAGATACTTTCCCAAAACCTTTATCTGCATTTTTGTAGGCAGGAAGTTACTACATATACCTTACCTTAGGGACTTAAAGCCAATAGTATCTTTTGTCTTTCCAGTCTCTTTGTTGTCTGTGCATTTCCAGCCACAACATTAGAGAGAAGGTGAGGAGGAAGTTCGGATTCAGGTTATATCTCCTGTGAAAGGATCTGGGAGAGGCATTCATGGCCAGCTGTGGTTTTTATGGATCTTAAATATTAAGGGCTCCAGTTTGCATAAATACTTGACCACTGTCCTTCTCCTTTTCACAGGCCACTGAAGGATCTTGTACTATGCCTAAACCAGGTGTGTTTGACTTGGTCAATAAGGCCAAATGGGATGCGTGGAATGCCCTTGGCAGCCTGCCTAAGGTGAATTTACTTGTTGCTCTCCTTTGATTTTATTTGCTGTACTTTGAAAGAAGCTTGGGGCTTCTCATCAAGCCATTAGAAATGGAATGTTTGAGATCTTGATATGCCAATACTGAACCAAAGTCCCTGATCTTTCTTCATTGCAAGATGCTATTTGTTAGTATGGTAAGTTTCTCAACGTACTAATTCAACCACAGGCTGAAGTATCTGTTGTCTTCTCTTCAGGAAACTGCCAGGCAGAACTATGTGGAGTTGGTGTCCAGTTTGACTTCTGCATCACAACCCTCTAGCCAGGTGGAGCCTGGAGCAGACAGGAAACCATCTGCATATGAAACCCTGGAGGTGACCTCAGAAGATGGCATCACAAAGATCATGTTCAACCGGCCCACCAAAAAAAATGCCATCACCACTCAGGTAATGTTACCTGCCCAGGGAGTTTGTTCTGGTTTTCTTTTTTCCTCTATGTGTTTCATCAAAATTGAAGCCTTTCAGCGTCATTCTTATTTTTTGTGGTATTTCTCATTTGATTTGTAGAGGAAGATTAATAATTGTGGCCACTTCTTATGACCTTGGTATTCATTGTTTAGTGTTTTTAAGCTCCAGGTAAGTTCTGACATACCCAAAAGGCACTGCAGCTTTCCTAATAATGGAAATACAAATACGGTAATATAAATGAAACATGTTGATGTAAGAGAATCACACAGAGGCCCTCTAATGTGGGTATAGACAGCCCCCCAAAAGTGTCTTCATGTCGCTTGGATGACTGGAGAGTGAGTCTTTCTCCTCACATGGAGATCTATTTTGTAGAAATAGAGAAAGAAGAAAAGGACTTCATCTTTAAATAGCTTTTGTGAACTGCTTCCCAAGGGCAACTTTCAATTGTGAATATCTCATTGAACTGGAACGATAATAAAATAGCCACATCAGCCCCTTTCTCCTAAAAAAAATTATAGGGCATTTATTGGATGCTTGGGGCTGAACGGGGCCCAAATTTGAGAGGACTGTAACCATTAGGGTTTATAATTTCCATGGTGGTAGAAAGAGCACACTGACTTAAAATGGTCTTAAGACTTTCATGAAGTAGAATATGTGACATTCAGTTAATAAAGCATTTAATTCTCACACTTTATTTCCATTTCCCCCGACATAGCTATCATGGTAATAACAGCTATTCTTTGCAGAGTACCTAGTAAGTGTCAGCACTTTCCACATAGAGGTTCGTTTAATTCTCACAAGGAGCCTCTTTATCATTATTTAACAACAAAATAATTAGGCGAAGAAGAAACTTGCTCAAGTTCACATAACTAATAAGCATCAAAACCTAAATTGAAACTCTTGATACATCAGGTCCTAATCCTGGTCTCTGCTCTGCTGTGCTGTGTGTAACTGTAGCAATGAGGGAATCACTTCCTTGTCACCTCTGTCTGTGGAATTGATCACATTTTTACTCATCCATAGTCATCTCTCAGTATCCGTGGGGAACTGTTTTCAGGACTTCTCACAGATACCAAAATCCTCAGATGTTCAAGTCCCTGATATAAAACGGTGTAGTATTTGCAAACATGTAATCTATGCATATCCTCTCATGTAATTTAAATCATCTCTAGTTAATACCTAATTCAATGTAAATGCTATATAAATAGTTTTTGTACGGTTATAATGATTGAGGAAAAAAGTCTGCATGTGTTCAGTATAGATGTAGAAGTTTTTAAAAAATATTTTTGATCTGTGGTTGGTTAAATCCACAAAAACCTGTGGATAGTGAAAACCAACTGTATTAAAGTCCATGTTTGTGGGTTTGTTTGATGTCTTTGTATCCATAAATAACAGCCCTCTTCACTGTTCTCTCCCACACTGAAATCTCATCTAAGGTAGATATTATACCTATTTTAAATGCATTAAAAATTACAGCTGCATGTTCAAGATTTTCAGAAGTGTTGCTGTTTTAAAATTCTGAGGTGTTGTCCTTGAATACCATAACAACATCTTAGTAGTCCCAGCTTCTTGGCGTCCATTAATACTTCCACACTGCCTGGGACACTCGCTCTTCCTTGCAGTCACGAGGGTGGCCTTGTTTTGTGGATAGTTTTCTCCGACCACCTCCCATTCTGCTTGTCCTAGACAAGCCCTCCTCTGAGTTTCCGGGTGCTTTGTACCTTCCACCCCCGGCCCTATTTAAGTATTAGAATCCTCTGTTCAAGGCCCATGTTTCTTTGTTCCTTTTGGAAAAAAGATGTTTATATCCCCTCCAGTATCTACCATAGCACCCAGTACATGTTACACATCAAGTAATTGTAAAAGGAATGAAAATCCTTTTACATTTTTATTTATAACATTGGTTATAAATATAACCAATTTAAATATTTAGCACATTGCTGAGACCAAGCTTGCAGACTGACATTTAGTGAAGCTATCAATTCCCATCTCCAGAGTTACCTTCTTTTCCTTGTCTTCCCATTCATCAGATGTATCACGAAATTATGCTCGCGCTCAAAGCTGCAGGCAAGGATGACTCATCGGTAACTGTTCTAACAGGTAACATGTTTCCTTGGACTTCTTTTTTTTTTTT